CAGTTTCTACCTGTTAAGGTTCTACGACCGTTAGTAGACAGGGACCCGACCGCAGCTGCGGTAATGAGCGTGGCCCGGTCGAGATGTCTTGTGTGGCACAGGCAGGAGATCTGGGGAAGTTTCGCTCGTGCTCTCGGGCGCTTGGCCTGATATTATGTCCGTCCGTAAGCTTCCGAGAATACGAGGTAGTTGGTGCTGGGTACTGTAGCCATTGGGCTTTCCATGTGGCCGCACCCTTTTTGACACGGTGACCATGCCAATTTGCTGACGTAGAAGAGTGTGCCGTTAACAAGACCAAAAACGAATGGAAGTTGAGGTATCTCGGTAGTCGCGCTTTATCCTTTCACTGTTCTGCGACACCGCGTTCGTCTCACATTGACCCTCCAAGGGTAACGCGCCAGAGGCTAGCACGGTTCAGGCGATAAGCGTGGTCCGCTTTAGTTTCCATCTTCACAGATCGTGGACGATCGCTGCAAGGATGCGATGAGTACGTATTTTTTGTTCAACGCCGATGAATGCTATTCGCTGCTTGTATACCGTACATGATGCACAAAGGGCGCGTCTACTAGACTGAGCCTCACGCTATGCCAGATGAAGATGAAAAACGCACAGATGTCCAGTCGGAGTCAGATGAGAAAGGCCAGAATGACAGGCAAATTACCGAATATCACGTACACGATAAAAATGTTCAGTGCCATGAGATACTGCGCATGTTAGCTTGTGTTCAATCAATACAATTACATAAACTTACTACAACATGATGCCGGCACCAGTGAACATGGCGCTGAACTGCATCAGGGTCTTTCTCAGTTCTTGACCCTTGTTCGGGCCGGTCTCAAGTAGTTCTGGTATGACAGCAACTGTTCCGACATACAGAAACGTGCCAGCGGTGAATGGGAGCAACATGTCACCCCATTGCAGACTGGTACCCATAATTCCAGGGCCGTGGGCGCCGGCTGACGCGGAGTTTCCGCCGAATTCTTGGATAGCGATGCCAATGCATGTGCCTAGAAAAGCGCCGACAGCTGTGACAAATTGCGCGCCCATAGCTGCGCGCTTACTAAAGCCCGACTGTATTAGGAGAGCAAAATCGCCCACCTCGTGAGGGATTTCGTGAAAGAACACAGCCACAGTAGTTGTAGCTCCGATTGTGGGTGAGGCGTAAAAGGAAGAACTGAGCGCGAGCCCGTCGGTGATGTTGTGAGTGAAGTCGGCGATAAGGTTGAGGTAGCCACCAAGTTTAACGCTGGCGTTGATCTCCTTCTCGGTTGGTGCGTCTGCGGTGGCCGATGTAGCGTTTGCACCAGACTTCCTGGCGCGAAGCGTATCTTTCGAGTCCTTTGTGCCGATGCCTGTCGCCTTCGCAGTTGCTTCGACCTTCTCGTGCGAATGTCCATGGGAGTGATCGTGGCCGCCTTGGCCTCCAGTCGCAATGCGCAACCCCTTGTCCATGGCCACAAACGTGACAAAGCCCACCATGATGGCCACGCCTAGCAATAGATTCTTGTTGGGCTCCACCATAACAAATTTGACCGAATCGTGTTCGTCCTCGCCCAAGAAGATCTCTGGTAGCAGATGGAAAAGCGTGTCACCTAGCAGACCCCCGACAGCGAATGCTACCATGACAGACAGCGAGGACGGGTCGATGTTGGGCGGGCATAGTGCGAGGAGGAAGTTTGGTGGGCCGGATATGTAGAGCGTCGCCAACAAGGAATTGACTGCAGGACTGCCGGGGAAGAGGAAAGCGAAGATTTGGGAGGCGACAGACGATGTTGTCGGACTCGAGGCTACCTTGTGCTGATTGAGAGCTTGCACCAGAGGACATTCCTAATACGTGTCAACACTGCAACAAGCACGCGACATGTCGTCCTGTCGATACAGTCCGAAGTAGGATAAAGTGAACAAGGCATATTAAGACATGCATCAAGTGAATAGCATACCTGTAATTGCTCCTCTATTTGATGGGTAGTCAAGTCCTCCACTGACACTCCCGTCTCGCCCTTGACAGCTGCAGCAGCCACATTCCACGCCAACACTGCAACAAATATCGCCAAGGACACCAAGGTTCTGTTGCGACGCGAAACCATGGTGACACGTGATTCAATTAAACTCGACCAAATAATTGATGGCGGGGGTTGATAATGGAAGCATTTAGGGACCTGTGAGCTGCCGATACATAAGTACTATCGCCAGTTCCGTTATCGATAAGGCTAGCGCCGTGGTAACATAAAGTTCGCCAAAAGTTTTGGAAGTTGCGACTGGCGCCTCTGCAACACTCCATCACCCTGCCATATTCTCCAAACGCCCAAAAATAATATACAATGGGTCGCGAACTCCAGAAGAAGAAGAACAAGTCTTCCATCCCCAAGAAGCGCCAGAATGGCCCGTCCAAGAAGAAGATTCTGCAGAACCCCATCATAGCCAAGCACTGGTACGTGCCACCACCTTGTACTTGGATGCGCACATCTAATAGCCGTGTGTAGGAACCAGAAAGAAACTCTATCGCAAAACTACCGCCGTCTCGGTCTCACAGCACGCCTCAACCACGCAACGGGTGGTACCGAGAAGACGATTGCCCTGCTCGGCCTCAACGACGCAAATTCCTCGCGCGCCGACATAGCCGCTGGTAGCACCGCCGATGCCCTGAACATCGTATCCAAAGCCAAAAAGCCCGAGAACATCCCCACTGAGGAGATCGAAGTCGAGCGCGACCCCGAGACCGGTGCCATTCTCCGCGTAACAGGCACCCTAGAGAAGAAGGACAACCCACTCAACGACCCGCTCGTCGAGATCGAGAATGAAGACGAGGACATAGAATGGAATGGTTTCGCCATGGTGCCCGAGCAAAGGGGTGGCGAAACAGAGAACCCAGTCATCAGAGAACTAGAACAGGCGGCGTTGAACGGTGCGAAGAAGGCTCCCCGAGGCCAGAGTCAGCGTGAGCAAGAGTGGGTTGAGCGCTTGGTTGCCAAGTATGGGGACGACTATGCCAAGATGGCACGGGATCGCAAACTCAACCCTATGCAACAAACGGCTGCGGACATCAGGAAACGAGTTACCAAGTGGCAGAAATTACAAGGAAAGCCATGGACAGGATAGGCGGATGAGGCATAAGAAGCGGCGTTTTGGAGTTTTCGGTGCATGAGTCACTCAAAACTAGCTCGAACTATCTACTTACATACAGTATCTTACGGCTTACCAGCGATGATCGTCTTCGGTAGCTATCTCAATCTTTGCCAATTCTGGTATCGGCACCTCACTTTCTTCCAAACACATCACAGGTATCATTTCACATGCGTTCCAGGACAAGTAGTGGTGTGTGGTCTGTATTGTTGGACGTCATTCTCTTTTTTGCTGTACCCGCGCGCCCACCGCCTATCATCCTAGACATAGCTATGAATTTCGGTATAAGAAAGCACATCAAATCCAAGATGGCGGCATGCCTTTACCTACCCTTGGACCCACTGATCAGTACAGCAGTCAGACGCAGCTAACACGGCATCATATATAACGAGTCTTTTACCTCTTCCTTCGACCTTACAATTCCTACAACGAACTTAGTCATCTTATTTCTATCCACAATAGACATCAAGTCTTTCAGTCATCGACCACACCAAAGCATGTCCGAGAACACAATGGCTAGCTTCACACCCAACGACAACACCTTGAGCAATGCTCCCCACCCAGATGATATTGACATTGCACCCCGCATTTGCGGCTACTGTAACGAGTATCTTGCCATAACCGACAAGGCTAAATCGAGTGGGAGATACTGGAAAGGCTGTAAAAGGTGCCTCGATGAGCGTGCAGCGAAAGAGCAGAAGCGGATAATTTTCAAGAGAGCGAAAGCTGAATTAGTAGGTGCATCATTTCCCACATTTTCGTGCCAACTGTGAGAGTTTCAAGTCGACAAGTTTATCCCATCACGAGATAGCGTTTACTAGACGACAACGCAGAATATTGATATCGCGACCAGACATGGTGGCAGATGCTCCTACGACTTTAGAACAGATGACGAGCAAGACAACGAAGAAACCTTCTTCATCAAGCAAGAAACATCATCCGCCTTAGACCCCAGCAGCTTCTGCAAGTAC